CCGTCCAAAGCTAAAATAAAACATTGTTTCGAGCGTGCTCTAGGTTTGCCTATACAGGAGGCTGCAACACCACCTCTCTCTCTCACACACACAGCTCTGCGGTTTTGGTGTTCCAGGCAGTCAGTGCGCTACAGTGTTTCGTTTGTATTACAAACAACAACAACAACAACAACACAAAGGAACAGGCGCGTACAGTCTGGCACACCGGACGTCAAATTCGATTGTATTTGCACACAACGCAACGAAACTTGTTCAAAGGAGGGGAGAAACAACGCTCTGAACCAGAAAACAGATCCATCCAGATGGCAAGTCACCGAAAGGTGTTTACATGCGTTTATTTTGGGATCCCAGCCCCCTGTGAGAGATCCGAGCCTCCCTGCGTGGTGTCTGTGGTTCATGCGAACGCACCGTACTGCCATGAAGCCGCTGTTAACCCCAGACACACTTTTTAAATCTAAAGCACACGCTCGCATTATTATCATGGGTGCAACTGGCCAGCAGACGTTTCTATCTCGAACGACAGCCAAAAGCCCCCTGCTTGATCTAACCAAATGCAGCAACAATGTTACAGCGGGAAACAAGTGTATCCGCAGAATGTTAATAAAAAATAAACAACACAGTTGCCCGGGCTATACATTCCTTTTTTTTGTTTTCGCTGTTTGTAATGTTTTTTTTACCTCTCTCCAGCCTGACAGGTTCCCCAATCGCAGCCATTTTGTGCCTGAAGTCCGTCAAGCCAGTACTACTCCAGCGAGTGCCCAATCCCGGCACAGCCTTGGTTTATGTGACACAGCCTCATTCAAACGGCAACATGACTTCCTGGTATTGGCACGGCACTCCCCGGAAGGTTTAGTTTCTGACGCCTTACAGGCTGGAAGGGGCTGACAAAGAAGTAGCAGAGAGCAAACTTCTCAGACATCGTTGTTGAAAGTTTACAAACTCGAGAAGGTCACTCTGCCCATCTAACCCTTTTCTTTGTAGTCAGTCCAGGTATCTCATCCAGCTGATGTTTCGGCTTCAATAACAAGGCGGGGTAGCTCGTTGCACACTCCCACCACTCTTTGTGTAAAGAAGTGTCTCCTGTTTTCGCCTTTAAATATACTTCCACATAGTTTCCACGCTTGTCTTCTGGTTTGTGTCCCAGTGTTAATTCCGAAGAAGTGATTTAGTTGATTATGTCAATGTCGTTGATGGTTCTGAAAACATCTGTCAGGTCTCTTTGTAATCTTTTCTTTTAGGAACTGAAATAACTCCTTCAGCCTGTCAGTGTGGGACACTCCCTTCAGACTAATCAGACTCCGTTCCTTTAACCTGTCAGTGTGGGACATTCCCTTCAGAATAATGAGACTCAGTTCCTCCAGCCTGTCAGTGTGGGACACTCCCTTCAGACTAAAGAGACTCAGTTCCTCCAGCCTGTCAGTGTGGGACACTCCCTTCAGACTAAAGAGACTCAGTTCCTTCAGCCTGTCAGTAAATAGAGTAAATAGTTTTTCATTGCTGTTTCAACAGTGTTTACTTATCCTACTAACCAATCCTACTAGCCTTGTGTCGTCTGCAAACCCGTCTAGTTAGTTATTAACTATACCAGAATCTAGATCTCTGAAGATCTACTACAGATCCCTGTGGTACTCCACTAATTACATCACCTCTACATGACTATTCACCGTTTATCTGTACCCTCAATAATCAATTCTCAATCAAAACACTCACATTGTCCTGAATGCATACCTCCTGTGATCTGAAAATTAATGTTTCATCAGGAACTTTATCTAATGCCTTCTGAAAATCTTAATATACCATCTCATGGGCTCGATGCTAAAAGCCTAAGTATGTTGGGTAACACCAAGCTTTCCTAAAGCCAAAATGAGGACATTCTTTCCATACAGGTGATCCTCTAATTTGGTTCTGATAGTTTTTTCCATAACCTTACATGTACTAAAAGTCAGACTTCAATACTTGAATAATTTCCTTGGTTCAATTTTCTCTCCCTTCTCACGAATTCTTCAGTCCCT